CATTTCACTGGGAACGCATAAAAAATTTAAAATAGAAAAAAAATCGATAGGGTTGCCACCATTCGAAAAAAATGCAGACCTGTATCAAAGAAATTCGATTTAAATAAGCCGCAGTAATGCTATTCCACTGCGAACATATGAACAAAATTTAAAACAGAAAATAATTTGCATAGGTTTGCCACCATTGGAAAAAATCTCGTGTCACGGTGTTTGTGGTCAACTCCTCCGAAACGGCTTGACTAATTTGTATGACATTTTTTCTGTATATTTGGTAGGTATGAAATTAGGTGGTAAAGTATATTTTGTACTGCTAATTAAAGGGGACGTGGCACCGCCCGTACAAATCGAAATTTTCATATTGGATATCTCTGGAAGTGTTCATGTTAGAGTACTGAAACTTAGCACTGAGCTATATGAAATCAATCGCATACCCATGAAAAAAACATAGTATATTTGAAAAGGGGCGCGGCACCTCCACTACAAACCGAATATTTCATGCTGTATATCTTTGGAAGTGTTCATGGTAGAGTACTGGAACTTGGTATGGAGATATATGAAATCCATCGCATACTCATGGAAAAAATTGATATTATTGGAGAAGGGGACGTGGCACCTCCCATACAAACCGAATTTTTCATACTGCATACCTCTGGAAGTGTTCATGGTTGAATACTCGAACATATAGCAGTACAGTAGACGCTCGCAAATTAGAACCTCTTTGTTTTTCAGGTAATTCTAATTTCTGGACGCTTTTTTTAACAGAACTCTTTTTTCAATCCATTTTATTTAATAAAAACAAGAAAACGAAGCATAACAATCCAGTGCAATACATGTAACATGTATTTTTTTATTAAAAATATACGGTTGCGTTAAATTAAAAATAGTGGGTAAACAAATAAATTGATGATTCCCCTTTTAGGTAAATAGGGGTTTTCTGTGGTCAAATCAAAACAAAATTTTAATTTCTGAGTGTTTAGTGTTTTGCATACCCTAACGGCCGGTTTCAACAGCAATTTAAATGAACTATTATTTTTTATTTTCTGTAAATTTCCATATAAAATTCAAAAAATTAAAATCACCGAAACTATTACCTATCTTTGGATGTATATACATATGGGCAAATCTAAAAAAAAAACAGGTACACTCTCAAAACAAAAAGTTTAATTTTCAAATTTGTGGGCACATTTATCTCTTATATATATATTCTATATCTTTTATATATTCTATACGTAATCTCTTAATAAATCGATAAATATAAGTGTAATTCATTTTCATCAAGTGCTTTAAAAATTAGACGAGGAGTAAACATTTATATAGATCGCTGAAATAAAAAACAAAAGAATAAGCTGGGTTTAAATTACGCTGCGCAAGTTGTAAATTTTGAGCAAAGATTTTTAAAGTTGACCTCACTTAATTGGGACGTTCTAAATTCAATGGCATCGCCCGTTATACCAGATTGGTTCCGATTTTTGAGATATCGGTACTTGAAACTTTTATTGAATTTTAAATATTTTATAAATAACACCCTCAGTTTTGAAGTTATCTTACTAAAATTTTGCACATAACGGTTTTCAATATTACCTTAATTATTCCTTAAAATGACCGAAATTGGTTAACTTTAACATATAGCTCCAATACAACTAATTACTCAGATATGTGTTTTTGCGCTATAGCTCTATTTTCATATCTGAATAATAAATTGTATGCGTGCTATATGTTAAAGTGAACCTATACTAAATTTCTACCTGCTTAATTGGAAGAGTTATGACGCAAAACAACGTCTCTGAACAATCAGTTGTATGGGAACTAGATGTCAAGGTTAACCGATTTCGATGATTTTAAAGGATAGTAAAGGTAATATTATGAGGGCGTTTTTTTATAAATAGTTAAAATTTAAGGAAAGTTTCAATTACCGCTATCTCGAAAAGTGTTGCCAATCGGGCATGACTGGGGACGCCATTGAATTTGGAAGGCTCCGGTTAGGTAAGAGGCAGTATCAGAACCTTTGTCGAAAAAAAGTTGATTTGATACCCTCGAAATATTCTGACTACAAAAGGAGCATCATTAAAAGTTGTAAATCAGGGTTTTTACACGCTTCTAAAGAACATTTTTTGAAGCATTTAGATCGTTTCGACATATTTACCAAATTTGCCCTCAAT